ACCATATCCTAGAAAAGAGCTTTTAAACCTATTATGGCTGTCTCTGCACTTCAGAAATGGCATATTTAACCCATTAGAAACATTCCTGTCTCTACTCTCACCTACAACATTATATTCTTTCTACCCATCACCTCTGCAAGGTGCCTGAGAGCTGGCAGGGACCCTTTTTTTAATTTGCATAGGGACAAGCTGGTGCTGAAGGCTATGACTTACTTCTTGCTTAAGGTAGTACCCAGTTTGAATTGTTGTCCCTGCCTAAGTTTGCTACACAAGGGCAGAGATGGCCTTACTAACACAAACAAATAAAATAAAGGGCTAACACAATTTAAAAGGTACAAAGACGCCCCTATCGGGCACCCACTCACTATAAAGTGTGGGTATTAGCATGGCAAACTGGTCAAAAGAGCATACACAACAAACTGACCAACAAAAGAAAATGCTGTTGATCCGGAGACCAGAACAAATAGAGCACACAAGCACTCATAAATGTAGGCAATCCTAATTGTAAACTTTCAGAAATAAAGTAAAATGTAATAAGCTAAGCCAAAGTAATAGTAATGATTTCCTACTGACATGGACTTCAGGCTCAGGAGCACTTCAGTATAGAGGCAGAGAATTGAATTTCCATCGATCAAATTGTGAAGGCATATTAGGTCTTACAAAATTTTTTTAGTAGGGGCGGCGTGGAGCAGCAGGTAATCTTGAATCATCTTGGAAGGTCAGAACAGTGACTATGTGGTTAGTACTTCTGCCTAGCAGCTCTAGGGTCATCAGTTTGAATCCCTACTATGCCATGACACTACCTGCCTGGAGTTTGCATGTTCTCCCTGTTCGTGCGTGGGTTTCCTCTGGGTACTCTGGTTTCTCCCCATGCTCCAAAGACATGCTGTTAAATTAATTGGATCCTGTCTAAATTGGCCCTAGTATATGTATGCATGAATGTTGCAGTTAGAGACCTTAGATTGTAAGCTCCTTGAGGGCAGGGACTGATTTGAATGTACAATATACTGTATATGTAAAGTGCTGTGAATTGACGATGCTATAAAAGTACCAATAATAAGCAGAGCAGCATACCAGCGTTTTTTAACTCACATAAATGCGGCCATCAAGGTATAGCAGTGAGGATGGGAGGAGCTATGGAAACCTCAAAGCAGGTAAGTAAAGCTGCAACAATGTGCAAGATGGACAGAGAGTGCCTCCGTCTTCACCCGGATTATGCAGCAAACTGCTGACTATCCACTGTCTAGGAAAGTTCCTGGGGGAGGCAGCTGATGTATGCAATACCTTATAGGCGCCTATAGACCCCCATAGTAAGCTCATACAGTCTGATATGCTGATAGGCACCACTGTTTGGCAGTCAAACTCAAACTCTCCAATGAGGCTGCTATCCACAGACCAATGTGGCATTAGCTGCTGGAAAACATACTGTTCCAAGCTCCTCAAATAAGACAGGAAGAGTGCCAACCAAGGCTGCATGATGTCAGGCAACATCAACACATTTCACCGCAAATGGCCTCCTCAAGGTGTAATGTCCTTCTGGCAGGGATGCAAATATATCGAACCTATAATCCTGCCTACTACATTTCTTAAAGGGAAACTGCTGAAATAAGTTTATTTGTGTTAAAGTCACACACAAGCACCACAAGAAACTCATATACCCTGCTATAAATTCTCCAATCCTCTGAGTTATATTCTACACTTAAGTACAAAGTCATAGCTACTCAGAAAGACATACAAATGAGCATCAACAGTAAATGTGCATCAAGGGGATTTACCTATAGTGTAATCAGCCACTGGTCTCCCAACACAGAGAAACTACAATTAGCAGTTGTAGCCTCCCACATAACCTGAGAATATCACTGGGAAGCAGGACTACAAAAAGGAAACTAAAGAATACAGGAGGAAAAAGGGAAAGGAATGAAGAGGGAAAAAAACAGAAAAATAAAAAAATAAAAAAAAAATAATTAAATCAAGCTGCAAAGGCAGTGGGCGTGGGTATGCATATGCTGCAGCAAGACTAAATCATCCTGTTGCATTTTGTGGGCAGTACCACCAGCCAAACGCAACCCATTCAACTGAAGGGAGCTGCACCACAACCACTTTGCTGGTGGTGTGGGTTTTTAGGGGTTCATATAGACAGTGAATAGGCATAATGCCTCCTCACAGCTTGTCAAATGTACTCTGAAAAACAACCCATCACAGATCACTCTTCAGAAGAATAATGCTAACGTAAACTTGTCCACAGAGCCCTTTAGTTAAAAGCACCCCACTCTGCATCTTTTGTTTTAAGTGACACCACCAATGCAGGAACATTTCTACCTTCCAGTGACACAACCAACATGGTAATTTTTCCTCACAGTGATGCTGGGGCATTTCTTTCTACATCACTATTAGCCCCATATTTTACTGTGGGATAGCACATGTCCCACTAATAAATTCATATCTTACATATGTTTTGGTTCACCACCCTGCGTATGCCGTTATTAACCCCAGCCCTCCCAATACTCCACTTGGGGCAAGTGGGGGCGCAGTTTGTCATCTTCCCCTTGGCACTGGATGACCTTGTTCTGGTACTGCTTGTTCCACTCTCTAGGGGCCAAGGTCCCCAGCTTGGAAATCTAACTTCTTTTTGAAGAAATAAGGTGTGAAAATCCCTGTGTCTCTTGCTGATCTTTAGGACATCGATCCCCTTCACCTTTGGTTCATCAGGCTTAGATTGATGGATTGCCAGAAAGTGCTATGCCAATGGGCTCTTGGACTCCCTCTTCTTTATATCCCGGAGGTGTTTATCAATGCAGATGTGGAGCTGATGTTTTGTTTTACCTATATACATCTTAACACACAGTCACTGCAAACTGTAGACTACCCGTGTGGTAGCACAATTTATCAGATGTTTGATTTTATTCTTGTTCTACCAGTCTGCATCAGTGAAGATCTCGGTCTGTTCTACATAACGGCAGATCTGGCAATGGCCAAGTGCCACCATTCCTTGAGTTCTAGGCATAGTCAAGTCTCACTTGTTGCTGGTACAAATTCCAATTGCGTAAGTATATCTGCCAAATTTTGAGCTCGAGTGACCATTGAAGGGCATTCACCAGCTATGTTAGCAAGCAGTGAGCAATGCAATAGGATATGCCAATGTTTAGATAAAATTTGTCATACTTTTTACAATTGTGCGCCAAACTGGATAACGAACCTGATTGGACTTTTTTTTCCATCCTGTTCTGACATAGATATTTTTTCTTTCAAAAGTTGGGACCTGTTGGTTTTTAGAGCATTTCTCTTGGCTTTTCTGAGTTGTTTTTGGGTATACCCCCCTTTCCTAAAATTTCCTATATGTCTGATGGACCTCTTTTTTTAAAACTTCATTCTTAGAGCAATTCCTCCTAATTTGAAGACATTACCCTATTGGGATTCCCTGAATCAAGAACTTGAGGTGGAAGCTATCTGTGCGTAACATAGTATGGCCGCTGCTGGCTTGTGATATGTACATGTGACCAAACGATCACCTTCCCTGGTGATCTGGAGGTCCAGGAACCAAATTGCAGCACAATCGTAAGTGCAAATAAGTTTGATATTACAATCAACATTTTTTAAATCGGCTACAAACCTGTGCAACTCTGCCTCCTAGCCTCTCCAGACCACCAGGACATCATCAATATAGTGGACCCGTAATGTGACCTGCCATGCAAATGCCTCCATCTTGTAAACCATTCACTCTTCCATCATGCCTAGTTGCAAGCAGGCATACGAAGGTGCCCATGGGGCACCGATAGATGTACCAGACACCTGTTGATAACTATTTTAATTGATCTGAAAGAAAATGTACTAAGGACAAAGTCCAGCAGATCCACAAAAATTCATTTTGATGAACCATTGATGGATAATGAAGATTCAAGAAATATTGGATTGCTCCTATCCCCCAACGATTCTATGTCAATTCCTATCAAAATCCACTCTCCTTCCATCTCAAAGTCCTTCAACTTATCCAATACATCCTTTGTATCCCTAACAAAATAATTCATGGTGGGGACCATAGTCTTAAGGAATTTATTAATATATTGGCCAATTTTCTTAAGTGGATTCTCAAAGTTTTTATGTCATTTTGGGATAATATAGAAGACAGGTGACCCCAGAAAGGAACCTGACCATGGCTTGGAGCGGGAGCTCGATGTGAGGGCTCCTGGCTCCCAAGCACCTCCAGTGTCCTGCCGAGAAGGAGAGAGATGTGCGGGAAGCCCTGGAGAGTCGGGGAGAGGGGCGGCATGCCTGGCGTGGACCGAGGACCTCTGGGAGTGGGGGCCAATGCGGCGAGTCTACCTGTGCTCTTGGCACAATGCTATGTGTTCCCCGGAGCTTAGTGCATGCCTGGCGATCAGGTGATCTGCCACAAGGGAGCTCTGGGAGGCAGAGGAGCCGACCCGCGTTTCTTGGAGCAAGGGAGACGTCGGCTCTCTTCCTCCTGCACACAGGACTGTGGCAGCTGGAGACATGAGGAAATTGGCTGGGTGAACCCCCACTAGCAATGCACTCATTGTGTGAGGGGAATGTTGAGTGCAATGTTCCCCAGCAGAGAGTAGCTGGAGCCACCTCGCCCCTCACTTGGAGTAAAGGAAGAGATGTCCTAAAGTGTGGAAAAGTCTCTCAGAGAAGTTCAATCTCTATAGAAACCAGAGATCTCACATGGGGGAGAAGTATTCTTGTTTGGAGTGCGGGAAATGTTTTTCATGTAAGTCCTATTTTTATATATACCAGTGATAATACAAGAGGGAGCAGCCATACCCTTCTTCAGAGTGCGGTAAATGTTATTCATAGAAGTCCAGCCTGCATATATATCAGAGACATCACATGAGGAAGATGCTATATCCCTGTTCTAAGTGCGGGAAATGTTTTCTCAAACAAAACTAGACTACATATATCAGAGATCTAACACAGGTGAAAAGCCATATGTCTGTCCTGAGTGCGAAAACACTTTTCAGTGAGGCTTAGTCTTCACACACATTAGAGATCTTACATGGAGGAGAAGTTGCATACCTGTCCGGAGTGCGGGAAATGTTTTTCATGTAAGTCCTATTTTTATATATACCAGTGATAACACAAGAGGGAGCAGCCATACCCTTGTTCAGAGTGCGGGAAATGTTTTTCAAAGAAGTCCAGCCTGCATATGTATCAGAGACTTCACATGAGGAAGATGCTATATCCCTGTTCTAAGTGCGGGAAATGTTTTCTCAGATAAGTCTAGACTTTACATATATCAGAGATCTTACACAGGTGAAAAGCCATATGTGTGTCCTGAGTGCAGGAAACACTTTTCAGAGAAGCTTAGTCTTCACACACATTAGAGATCTTACACGGAGGAGAAGTTGCATACCTGTCCGGAGTGCGGGAAATGTTTTTCATGTAAGTCCTATTTTTACATATACCAGTGATAACAAAAGAGGGAGCAGCCATACCCTTGTTCAGAGTGCGGGAAATGTTTTTCAAAGAAGTCCAGCCTGCATATGTATCAGAGACCTCACATGAGGAAGATGCTATATCCCTGTTCTAAGTGCGGGAAATGTTTTCTCAGATAAGTCTAGACTTTACATATATCAGAGATCTTACACAGGTGAAAAGCCATATGTCTGTCCTGAGTGCGGGAAATATGTTTCAGAGATCTTACATGGAGGAGAAGTTATATACCTGTATGGAGTGCGGGAAATGTTTTTCAGAGAAGCCCTTTTCTTCATATATGACAGAGATCTCATACGGGGGAAAAGCCGTATTGGGGATAAGAGGGTGAGTGAGAGAGGCAAAAGTACTGAGATTAATATACTATTAGTGCCGCTCTCCCATATGAATTATCTATAGTATCTTATACTGTTATTTCCAAATCAACTGATAAAAGGATTGGTAAAAAATGGTATCACCCTGATGAAGTCACGTGACCCGGTGATGCAATGCGTAGGGGAGGGGCTCTGACGTCACAACGTTGTCTCAGATAAGCACGGCGAGTATAGCAGAGACTGCAGGCCATGTTTTCACTTTTTCAGCTTACTGCATACTAAATCAATGTGAGTGGTATATTCATCAGCAATAAATTACATCTTTAAAAAGGATAAGGCACCATGGTTTCTTTTTCTCTTATGTAATCCATCCGTGATACACCGGAGAGAGGTTTATACAGGAGGAAGGAGACCCCTGGAGGGGAAAAGGGAGACATCCATCCATCCATCCATTTCTTTCAAGCACCAGTTACATTGATTGCAGAGACCCCAGGTGGATTAAGATCTAACTACAACTATCCATTTGTCATTGGGAAAATCTCACACAGGAAGAATATTATTTCATCAGTCCTATAAGGACAAAAAGCGAGTTTTGGCTATATATTTAGGAAAAAACATAAGGTGAGCGCATACTAAGATCACACTGCACTTGGATTGTGGGAGTGGTATTTCACATTTGAAATTTAAATTGGAAGGGGACTTTTTATGTGCATTTATATATTGACTTTGGCTCACCATCAGTTTTCACAAATAATCACCAGCACACCAATGTATTATTATTTTTATATGATGTTATAGGCAATAGACAATTAATTCCTGCATCATATATAATTTATTTATTTATTTATTTATTTTTTACCAATCCTTTTATCAATTGATTTGGAAATAACAGTATAAGATACTATAGATAATTCATATGGGAGCGCGGGTACTAATAGTATATTTATCTTTAGTCACATAGCACTGTTTAATGAGTTGGTGTGAGTGTCAGCGAACCACAGGTGTGTTGTATTTTAGTCATTATTTTTATTCATACAATTAATTAGAAAATCACAGGTTTTTCTACCATAGTAGTAGCTCACAAGTACATATATAAATACTGAGATTAATATATTGCATGGGAACTGAACTGTATGTATTGAACTATATGTTTAAACTGAGGAGGGGTTCACCCAGGGGGTCTTAGAGGAAAATCAGAAGGAGGACAATGTAAAACAGATAAAGACCTAGAAGAAGAGGACCCGAGTAGATGAGTTCGGGAGTGGTGGGAGAGAAAAAGGAAAAAAAAAAAAGAACTGAGAGGGGGATACCCATGGAAGACAATAAATTTTTATATCAAATCAAAAATAGACCCCCCCCCCCCCCCCCCCCCCAAAACCAGAACTGCGTAAAATTTAAATAGTCCCTGAAAGCATGAAAAACAAAGTATCAAAGGGAGGAGGGCCTAATGCTTCCCAAACAGGGTCAATTAAAAAATACATACCCTCACAGGAGAAACAGACTCCAGAGAGACAACAGGGAATAAGTGTAAGAGGTGAGAGGGAAAACAGCAGGGAATGTTCCAGACTATCCCTGGGAATAACTAACAGTAGTCAACATATGGAAGAAGAAGTGGATATGGATAAAGTAGAAGAACAAGAAGAGAGCTCACAGATGTCTACTAAAGCAGAAATAGCAGAAATGTTTAAAGGACTTGAAAGATCCCTAAAACAGTAACTGGCAAAATTACACAAAGATCTGAGGCAAATATTATCAAGGGTGGAGGAGACAGAAGACAAACTAGATAAACATGCCCAAATTATACAGAAATTAGAAAAACAGGCGATGGAAATGAGAAAAGAACAAAGAAATCTGTTATATAAATTGGAAGACCAGGAGAATAGGGATAGGAGATGCAATCTAAGAATACGAGGCTTTCCAGAGATCGCCCAAGAAGATTTGACAGGAATAATAACGAGAATGCTGAGTACTATAATGGATAGAACTATAACAGAGCCTCTCAAAATGGAGGGAGTATATAGAATAAGAAAATACATACAAGAAGATAGAAAGGAAAAGCCAAGAGATGTAATAGTGCAATTCCATAATTTTCAGCATAAAGAAGAGCTTTGGAAGAAGATAAAAGGAAGAGCAATAATAAAATATGGAGAAATAAATATACAGATCTTTGTTAATTTAGCAGCGGAAACATTAATAAAAAGGAGAACTTTGAAACCGTTACTGGAACAGATGAGAAAACAGAATGTTCGATATTGTTGGGGGTTTCCAGCGTGTTTGATCGGATGGAGAAATGGACGTTCAGCAAGACTGAGATTCCCCGAAGATCTGAGAGACTTTCGTGAGAGACTTGATATACAGAAAATAAATATCCCTGATTGGGAGGAAGAAGGAGAAATGTGGGCTTTAGAAAATGAGGGGAGGCAAGTAGCTCTAAGGAGAAATAGAGAGTATGAATTGGAAAGAGGAATAAGATGGGGGGGGGGTTCTCTCCCCTTTTTTCTTTCTCTCTCTCTCCCTCCATTTCTGCCTCTCTCTTATGATCTTTGAAGTAAAAAAGAAGAGGGAAAGAAGAGAAAAAAATAAACACGCTTCTTAGTGAACTTTGTGAGTTAGAGCAGATATATAAACATAAAATAACAAAAGAGATTATGCAGAGGGTAATAAATAAAAGAGAAGAATTAAATACATTTCTGGAAGAAGATAAGAGAAGAGTGTTCAATAAAAAATGATAAGTGAGAGATACAGATGGGGAGATAGGCCAGGAAAGTATTTAATGAGGGCTCAGAGAAAAAGAAATCTAGGAACTATATAGAGAAAATAAGAGACCACAAAGGAGAATTAATGTATTCAACTAAAGATATAGCTAAAGTGTTTAAAGAATATTATAATAAGCTATATAATATTATCCCCCACAGCTCCATAAGTAAAGATAAAGTAGGAAAAATAGAAAAAAAGACAGACATACTTAAAAAAGGCAGGATTACCAAATTTAAGTGAGGAGCAATTAAAATCCCTAGAATCAGCAATAACGCAGGAGGAAATACACTTAGCATTAAAGAGCACTATAGCTGGGAAAAGGACCCGATGGATACACAGTGAGATATTATAAAACATATAAAGAATTATTAGTACCTAAACTGAGGATATTTATGAATGCATTGGGAGGAGAGGTGGAAATGAGGAGGGAATCCCTACAAGCCCATGTAGTTCTCATACATAAGGAAGGTAAAGATGATACTCACTGTTCAAGTTGCAGAATGATTTCCTTATTAACCACCTCCCGCCCACCATATAGTCCAATGACGGGCGCAAGGTGGTTCTCTCATTCTGGGAGGATGTCATATGATGTCCTCCCATTCTCACCGCGCATGGCTGCTCAGGGAGTGCGCAGCACGGCGATCGGCGGTGCGCTGTGTCCCTCGGAGCCGAAGATGTCGGCTCAGTCATGTGTCCAAGCTGTGTCCAATCACAGCTGATCGCATGTAAACAGGGAAATGCCGGTTATCGGCATTTCTCTCCTCTCGAGCTGTCACGCTGACAGCTCGAGAGGAGAGGAGAGCTGGTAATCGGCTTTCTGCGGAGGGGACATGTACACTGATCATTAGGGCACTGATGATCAGTGTGCCCCGATGATCAGTGTAGCCCCAGCAGTGCCACCTGTCAGTGTCCATCAGTGCCTTGTGCCAGTGTCCATCCGTGCAGCATCAATGCCACATATCAATGCCTACCAGTGCACATCAATGCCACATATCAGTGCCCATCTGAGCTGCCTTTCAGTGTCACCCATCTGTGCCAGTTAGTGCCACCTATCAGTGCTGCCAATCAGTGCCACCTATCAGTGCCAGTCAGTGCCGCCTGTCAGTGCCGCCTATCAGTGTGCGTCAGTGTCGCTTATCAGCGCCTGTCAGTGCCGCCTATCAGTGCCAGTCAGTGCCGCCTAACAGTGCCAGTCAGTGCTGCCTATCAATGCCAGTCAGTGCCGCCTATCAGTGCCAGTCAGTGCCACCTATCAGTGCTGCCTATCAGTGCCATATATCAGTGCCATGTATCAGTGCTGCCTTTCAGTGCCCATCATTGATGCCTGTCAATGCCCATCAGTGCCACCTACCAGTGCCTCCTCATCAGTGCCACCTATCAGTGTCCATCAGTGCAGCCTATCAGTGCCCACCACTGCAGCCTCATTAGCGCATATCAGTGAAGGAGAAAAATCACTTATTTACAAAATTTTATAACAAAAACTAAGAAAAAACTTTATATTTTTAAATTTTCAGTGGTTTTTGGTTTGTTTAAGAAAAAAATAAAAAACCCAGAGGTGATTAAATACCACCAAAAGAAAGCTCTATCTGTCACAAAAAAATGATAAAAAATTTCATATGGGTACAATGTTGTATGACCACGCAATTTTCATTCAAAGTGCGACAGCGCTGAAAGCTGGGAATTGGCCTGGGCAGGAAGGGTGTATAAGTGCCTAGTAGGCTAGCGGTTAAAACACATATACCAAACTATATGCAAAAAGGTCTGGCAAACAGGTTTACAAACATGAAAGACCAATAAGAAGACACATAATAATGTCACAATACCAAAATTATTCAATATGCAAAAGGTATAGTGTACTGGCAATTCAGAATCAGGACTTGAAAGACCAATAATGTCTTAATGTGGATACACAACCCCCTAAAGACCAAGTAGGAGGTTTACAGTTCCAGGGAGGATGAGGCAGCAATAAGCATAGATAAAGGACTGAGATACTCCTTGTTGTCTTACAAACAAAAAAGAATGGTCCAGGAAAGAGAAGAACATTTCTCTTCACACAGGAAGGGCAATGGCTATAAGAAAGATTGCGATGTTAAACATACCAAGGTACCTCTCATAAATCGATGCTGAAAAAGGCTACATTTGATAAGATGTAGATCGACTGCTGTGGGCTACCTGATAGAGTGGAGAGAAGTGTGACTGGATACATTGGGTAAAGAAGTATCAGCCCAGACAATGGGCGTAATGAAGGCCTGGGCCAGAACTCCCAGAATGCTGTCTCCAAAGAATAAGAAGAGTCGACTGCAGTATAAAAGCCATGTGGAAAACCACAAAAGTTGTGGGATATTGTCACTGATGAAACAAAAATTAGAACCCCATCAACGCAGCAAGGCCTATGATGAAAAGAACACCTTGCCTATTGAAGGGTGGAGTATTTTTGGATGCAGAACGGAACTAGACAGGAGATATTGATGCCCTTTGTCTCCATTGCTATAGACGTTTTATCATTGGAATCTCTTTTGGCTACAATAAGGAATAATATAGAACCTATGAAAGGAATTGGGAGGCCTTTGCCCATGATAGGAGATACGGAGCATAAGGTGGCAGCTTATGCAGATGACATGCTGTTCTATGTGAGAAACCCAAGGTTAAAGGATGCTGTACTAAGTAATAATAACATTGCCAAACTTAATGAAATCACAAAAAAGTAGAAGAATATGGGGAGATGTCAAATTTAAAAATAATTGGAACCCAACAAAAAATGAAATTTTAAGCATAAATCTTCCAAATAGAGAGAAAAATAGGTTATAGGAGGAGGAATTTCCCATTTGTTTGTGAGAGAAAAAGAATTGAAATAAATCACTTAGGAATAAAATTAAAACAAAAACAGTAAGCATAAATCCTAGAGAGAAAAATAGGTTACAAGGAACTTTTGTATAAATTGAATTATATCCCATTGTTAAATGAGATCATTGGAGATGGGATGAACTAAAAATATTAGGAGGGGGAACCCTGTCATGGATAGGTCATATAAATTTGATAAAAATGGTGATTGTTCCAAAATTATATAAATTTCAAATGATACCAATTAAACTACCAGAAGTAAACTTTAGATCAATAAAAAAAAGTTAATAAGATTTATTTGGAGGAATAAAAAAACGAGAATAAGCCAGGAAATTTTATGTAGAAATAAAGAGAAAGGAGGATTGGGAGTCCCAGATTTAAAAAGATATTAAAACTCGGTAATAATGGCGAGAATTTTTGACTGGACATATAATGCAGAGGGGAAAAGCTGGGTTAAAATAGAAAATATACTAAGTAATACTAAATTCAGTGGAATTGTATGGTTACCTCTACAATACAGAGGATTAGCAGACAGTACAAGTTTGTTTACATTTAATGTTTTAAGAGTTTGGGATGTTTTACACAAAACAGATGGGATGGGAATTTAATTCATTGTTAATGCCCTTAAAGTCCACAGAGTTTGCACAATTAAGAGATATAATGGTGGGGGAGTAAATAGGATCACTTAAGGCAGTGGTTCTCAACCTTTCTAGCGCCGCGACCCCTTAATACAGTTCCTCATGTTGTGGTGACCCCCAACCATAAAATTATTTTCGTTGCTACTTCATAACTGTAATTTTGCAGTAGGAGGAATAGTGCCACGTCATTGGTGTCATTGGGAGGAATAGTGCCCCATCATTGGTATCAGTGGGAGGAATAGTGCCCCGTCATTGGTGTCAGTGGGAGGAATAGTGCCCCCTTCATTGGTGTCAGTGGGAGGAATCGTGCCCCGTCATTGGTGTCAGTGGGAGGAATAGTGCCCCGTCATTGGTGTCAGTGGGAGGAATAGTGCTCCATCATCGGTGTCAGTGGGAGGAATAGTGCTTCATCATCGGTGTCAGTGGAGGAATAGTGCCCCATCATCGGTGTCAGTGGGAGGAATAGTGCCTCATCATCGGTATCAGTGGGATGAATAGTGTCCCATCATTGGTATCAGTGGGAGGAATAGTGCCCCATCATAGGTGTCAGTGGGAGGAGGAATAGTGCCCCATCATAGGTGTCAGTGGGAGGAGGAATAGTGCCCCATCATTGGTGTCAGTGGGGGGAGGAATAGTGCCCCATCATTGGTGTCAGTGGGAGGAATAGTGCCCCATCATTGGTATCAGTGGGAGGAATAGTGCCCCATCATTGGTATCAGTGGGAGGAATAGTGCCCCATCATTGGTGTCAGTGGGAGGAATAGTGCCCCATCATTGGTATCAGTGGGAGGAATAGTGCCCCGTCATTGGTGTCAGTGGGAGGAATAGTGCCCCGTCATTGGTATCAGTGGGAGGAGGAATAGTGCCCCCGTCATTGGTATCAGTGGGAGGAATAGTGCCCCGTCATTGGTATCAGGGAGGAATAGTGCCCCATCATTGGTATCAGTGGCAGGAATAGTGCCCCGTCATTGGTATCAGTGGGAGGAATAGTGCCCCGTCATTGGTGTCAGTGGGAGGAATAGTGCCCCGTCATTGGTATCAGTGGGAGGAGGAATAGTGCCCCGTCATTGGTATCAGTGGGAGGAATAGTGCCCCGTCATTGGTATCAGTGGGAGGAATAGTGCCCTGTCATAGGTGTCAGTGGGAGGAATAGTGCCTCATCATCGGTGTCAGTGGGAGGAATAGTGCCTCGTCATCGGTATCAGTGTGAGGAATAGTGCCCCGTCATCGGTATCAGTGGGAGGAATAGTGCCCCATCATCGGTGTCAGTGGGAGGAATAGTGCCCCATCATCGGTATCAGTGGGAGGAATAGTGCCCCTTCATCGGTATCAGTGGGAGGAATAGTGCCCCATCATCGGTGTCAGTGGGAGGAATAGTGCCCCATCATCGGTGTCAGTGGGAGGAATAGTGCCTCATCATTGGTATCAGTGGGAGGAATAGTGCCCCATCATTGGTATCAGTGGGAGGAATAGTGCCCCATCATTGCTGTCAGTGGGAGGAATAGTGCCCCGTCATTGGTATCAGTGGGAGGAGGAATAGTGCCCCATCATTGGTATCAGTGGGAGGAATAGTGCCCCGTCATTGGTATCAGTGGGAGGAATAGTGCCCCATCATTGGTATCAGTGGCAGGAATAGTGCCCCGTCATTGGTATCAGTGGGAGGAATAGTGCCCCGTCATTGGTGTCAGTGGGAGGAATAGTGCCCCGTCATTGGTATCAGTGGGAGGAGGAATAGTGCCCCGTCATTGGTATCAGTGGGAGGAATAGTGCCCCGTCATTGGTATCAGTGGGAGGAATAGTGCCCTGTCATTGGTGTCAGTGGGAGGAATAGTGCCTCATCATCGGTGTCAGTGGGAGGAATAGTGCCTCGTCATCGGTATCAGTGTGAGGAATAGTGCCCCGTCATCGGTATCAGTGGGAGGAATAGTGCCCCATCATCGGTGTCAGTGGGAGGAATAGTGCCCCATCATCGGTATCAGTGGGAGGAATAGTGCCCCTTCATCGGTATCAGTGGGAGGAATAGTGCCCCATCATCGGTGTCAGTGGGAGGAATAGTGCCCCATCATCGGTGTCAGTGGGAGGAATAGTGCCTCATCATTGGTATCAGTGGGAGGAATAGTGCCCCATCATTGGTATCAGTGGGAGGAATAGTGCCCCATCATTGCTGTCAGTGGGAGGAATAGTGCCCCATCATTGGTGTCAGTGGGAGGAGGAATAGTGCCCCATCATTGGTGTCAGTGGGGGGAGGAATAGTGCCCCATCATAGGTGTCAGTGGGGGGGGAATAGTGCCCCATCATTGGTGTCAGTGGGGGGAATAGTGCCCCATCATAGGTGTCAGTGGGGGAATAGTGCCCCATCATAGGTGTCAGTGGGGGGAGGAATAGTGCCCCATCCTTGGTGTCAGTGGGGGAGGAATAGTGCCCCATCCTTGGTGTCAGTGGGGGGAGGAATAGTGCCCCATCCTTGGTGTCAGTGGGGGGAGGAATTGTGCCCCATCGTTGGTGTCAGTGGGGGGAGGAATTGTGCCCCATCGGTGTCAGTGGGGGGAGGAATCGTGCCCCATCCTTGGTGTCAGTGGGGGAGGAATAGTGCCCCATCGTTGGTGTCATTTGGGGGAGGAATAGTGCCCCATCGTTGGTGT